AGCCGCCCGCCGTAACCGGAGATGCTCCTCACGGGAGAAACTGCGATAAAGGGTGTTCCAACGGCGAGCGGCGATCTGGGAGTCACGACAGCACGGGAATGCGTTTTATGCCATCTTCTCAGTGCTCCTGGCTTCTTTTTGTTCCATCCTCCTGGCACCTCAGCGTTTTTGGTCTTCCTTACATCTCCGGATGGATTTGGCTCTTAGGAGTCTTGTGTTACCATGGTGTTTGCTTTCTCGCACTGAGTCACGGTCTCACTTTGCAGGCTGAAAGCACAAAATTGCCTGAAACAAGCACGTGCTTAACTTTCAAGGAGTGAATATTTATGGAGTTAATAATTCTTCTGTTTTGTACAATTTATATGGTTCAGGCTGAAGTTAGGCTATGAGAAATGAGAACTGTGATTGCTGCAGCAGATGAAAATCGTGATTGTGCGTGCAGTACGTGGCTGCATTAAAGTCTGACTTTTGCCCGGTGCCATTTCCATATACAAACAGCCCCCCTTTTGAACTGCAAACATGTGGGATGTCTTAGCTTGGAGTCATTCACGTAGAGATAGGTTTTATGCGCATCAGCACGTTTCTTCTTACTACATAGTTTTATGTACCAATTCGGCAAATAAGTATTTGTAGTATTTTAAATACACGCCCAAGTTTCAGTAGCTGGGGTAGGACATAAGTACTGTAAGGTAATCATACGTGTTTGTTAAATGCTTTCATGAGTTCATCTTTATATGTATAAACCATAAATCAAAAACCAAGTGTAGGTTATAGCTTTATGCAAACATAAAAGAAGACTAAGACTGTGGAAGCCTGTTCAATAGAAACTGTTGTCTGTGTTTCCTTCTGTCATTCTTTCCTTTTTTCCTTTCCTCTGTCGGCACAATCTCTACTAACTTGTGTACCTCCCATCTTTTTTCCTTTTGGTGAAATAATCTTTAGTTCTTGGAAACAGAGAGATGGAGAGTGCTCTAAGAGAATTCTTTTCTGTATACTTTAGATTCAATTCTGGATACAGCGTATCTAGAAATGATAGGAGACAAGCGTAATATGCTGTTATCTTCCTTGTAGGTGTGTAGACTTTTAATTATATTTTTTTATATATTACAAAATCCATTTTACAGACAAAACGACAGTCTTCAGGCACTTGTCCTTTAAACTGCCAACTCGTGTATTCACTGCAGTAAAGGAAATCCTTGCCTTCCTTACCTGGTTAATGTGCATTTCACTTCAGGACCCACAGCTCCTACTGAGAGAGCGTTAAGGCCCGGACCCTGTATCCGTGTGCTCCTCTGTTCCTGCCAGCCCTCCAACAGCTGTCATTTTCTTCTGCACCCATTTTTAGAAAGTGACACTGCCCAGTGTGTCCTGTATACTGTTTATTGGAAACTCAAGCCTTGCTGCCTGTTCCCAGTGTAAAAGAGTCTACCTTAAAGTTTCATCAATTAAATATTTGGAATTTGTTAATAAAAAGCCTTATGTAAGTTCTAAGTAACGTAATAATATTTTTCTGAGATTTAAAATATTTTCTTCAAGGTTACTAGGCTTTGGAATGGCTGCCACGCTGTTTAAAACTATGTTGTAAAAATCTGTTGGCAGCTGGAATTCATAACGCAAAGACCTCAGTAAATAATAGGTGTAGTCTTGCAATGATGGGATTTTCATATCAATTGCACTGGAAGATATTTTCAGACCGTATCTTCACGTATCACTCGTAAAAGAAACATTGCTGAAATCTGAGTCAGCCAAACAAAATGAAACTGTTTTATTCTCTCAAGTAAATGAAAAGTATTTTTAGCTGTTGAGTTTTCTTTTGTCTTTTTAATACGACTCTTCTGTTTCGGAAAAGAATCAGCAGCGGCTCTGGAGACCAGCTACAATTTCCCAAACTGAAATGGTACTGTTTCAATTAATGTACACTTGAAGTCCGTGGAATTACATGGATGTATGAAATCATTGGAGCATATAGGCCTGTGGGACTGGGGTATTCAGAGAAAAAAAATGAAAGCGAGAGCTCTGCCTGGCAATCTGAAATAGCTGCGTTTGAGAAGGCTGAAGATTGCCCTTCCCCGCTTTCTGCACATACCGCTTCCTACACAGCTGTCGGAGCTGCTCTGAGTCAGCTTCTGAACCTCCTGGTTTTTGGAGTGTATTTAAAGGCACACAGCGATGATGCCAGGTTATAAGCTGCTGGCCCCAAATCCAATTCATAAAAGTCTGAGGTGTCCACAGAGAATGTTGTGAATAGTAATTTTATGCCAAGCTATCCCCACTCTTAAATCAGGGCCCTCAATATGCACTGAAGCATTGATTCTGCAAAACCTCACGCATGTATCTAACTCGACTTGGAAGAAAGCTCGTTATCATTCACGATCATCATTCAAAATGGGGAAGCTACATTCTGGAACAGATTTAACTGAAAGTCACATTTGCGGTTCTTTTCATTCAATCATAGAGATTTATTTCCTGCACCTTCTCAGCATCTCTTTACCCGGGAGCGAGACCTTTGGAAAGGTGAATGAGAACGTGACGTATCATCAGCTTTCCGAATCCTGACCAACTTGGCTTGGAAGCGTGGTGCTTCGAGTACCAGGTTGCTGCCGAGTTTTTGCTACAGGGAGTTGTCTGGTTGCCAGCAGACAAAGAGTTAACTATAGCTTTGCTTTCCCATTCTTCTGCACAGATGCTTAGAGGCCAAGCTACAAGAAATCTAGCTCTTCTCAGAGGCAGTGGGAGGAATTTTTTAGTAAAGAGGATGCCCTAAGTGGGTGAACCCTCAGCCAGGAAGGTTTGTGGAGAAAGGTTATGAAAACTTACTTTTATTTCCTTCTCAAACTGAAAATCTTTCAGGAAAAGCCCCATTGGCTGCAGCCATGCTTATATTTACTACTGCACCACTCCATCAGTTTTTCAGCATATTTCAACTAACTTAAAATACTTTCTGGGCTAAGGCTG